CAAGGCCCTCTACTGAGGGTAACCGGCAATTACTCTGTGGGCTTCTGTCACTTTGATCTCTGGGTCATGACCTTTGCTTTCTTGTGATCTTCAAAGCCCAGATTGTAGATTAGCTGGAGAATGCTCGCTGCGTTATGTAAGCCACAAGTTTTACAGCTCCTATTCTGCTGGGAAATGATGGCAGCCCAGAGCGACCAGACAGCAGAGGGTCCCTCCCTCCTTCCCTTTGACTGAGTGCTGCAGACACTGGGCAGGCCCCAGGGCTGCTCCATGCAGGCGAACAAAGAAAGGGCCTCACGTTTTAAATAACTGAAAGTTGTAAGGAATACAGAAGGGCCTGCGGGGAGGAGGGAGGAAGGCAAGGCCAACCAGAGACTGGAGTGGCAGGGGGGATGAGCAACAGAGGGTTCAGTGACAGAAGAAGAACTAAGAGACCATGAGACCAACTTCCTTATTTGAAAGGTAACTCCAGACTTCTCTACTGGTGACCTTCAGTCCATTGTTCCTTCTACAGCAAAAAGAAAAGAAGAGATTGCAAGGGAAGACAAGAAATAGACCATTCTGGGCACCCAACCTTCCCATATTGATTTGTTATTTTGGCTAGTGTCGAAATCCACAAGGGGCACCAGAGTGGTTTCTTAGTTAGCATGGTGGTCTCTCCGGCCAAGCCTTGCACCACTGTTCTCTTCCTGCCCGAATCCTGGAGGCTGCTGATTATCACATTCACCTCCATTCAACATTGATCCCAAAATAGCAGCATGGTGTGTACACACTGAAAAGCAGACAGGTTTAAGCTCCTATAATAACAGGGCCGTGGACATTTCTCAGCCATGAACTATGATGAATGGAAAAGAGAAACCCAGGCATGGCTCTGCTCCTGCCCCAGTGGGGCCAGGGCACTACTCAACAACTTGGTAGTATGTTCATGCTCACATATAAGTTTAATGAGCCTGTTTTATGGTGGGGATGTGTGCCAAGAAAACCCAACTGGGTGCACAGGGGGTAAGTGAGGAAGTGAGAGGGGTGAATGTGGGAGGAGGGGAGGAAAGACTCCACAGAAACTCAAGCTCCGTGATGCCATTTCCAATAACTACATAAATTGAGTCACTTCCCATCTCGGGTCCAGTGGCTGGCCACAGCGTGACCTAAAACTGGGCTGACCTCTTTGAAATCAACATCTCCCATGGAAACGAAACAACAGACACACTTGTTTTGATGTATGGCTGGGTGACATATTATAAATATTACATCACATAACCACAGAGGATGCCAATCAATAAGAAATTTTTTCAGACAGCACTAAATGAACCATGGGTTCTTGCTTCTGAATACGCTCCTTTAAGGCTCCTAGTATTGCTTAAATGATTAATAGAAGACATATTGTCAGAAAATGTACTTAAAGTGAAAAACAGTAAACTGTAGAAATATCATTCATTTTTAAGCAATTTTCTAGTGAAAATGTCACATAAATTTACATAGAGGCTCTACTATTAGGCTCTGGGTAACAGCTAGAAGGAAGGAAAACCTCATACTTTGTGGATGAAGGGCCAGGAAAATGTCTTACCAACAGAAAAAAAAAAAAAAAGGCAGTTGCATAGCTTTGTATAAACACAAATGCGACGGGAACTCTAGAATCTAAAGTCACATTGCAAAACCCTAAAATTTCTCAGTGGCAAATGGAGCACATACTCCAGGAAGGACAAAGCGGATCTGCTTACAAACCAATGAATGGAACTATATCAAACACATATCTGTCTCTTCCATATACAAGTGTAAGCACTCATCAAACCAACAGTAAAAAATAAAGAGATTAAATGAATAAAAAATTTAAATATGCTAGAGAATCCACCTACCATTCCACTCTATGGCCAGTTGCTGTGCCGTGAATGTGTAACTACAAGGAAACATATTTACTGTTCCTTGTGCTGTTCTTAGTTCCCATTTCTCCCGGAATGCAAGCATCTTGCCATCACTGTAGATGACGTGAATTTTCTAAGTTAATTTTGACTAGGTATGATTTTGGCTTTGTGTAACCTCTGGAATCTAGCCTCTCATGGCAACTTTGTGATACGTACACTCACAAACCACGTCCCTAGCCCCACCCCTCAACTCCTTCCAAGGAAACAGAAATGGAGTGGGGAGGATGGGCATAGAGGGTCGCCAACCTAGCCCATGAGATAGACCACACTTTCAGAATCTAGCCCTCCATAAATATTCATGACCCACAACCAGCACTTGGATTGAGTCTGAATCACAGTTCTTTGCCTAATAGCTGCATTTGTTGACATCCAAATGGATCTGATTCCAAATGGGCAGAAGGCATCTGAGGTGGCTAAAGGTCCCTGTATCTCCCTATAAGTTCCTAGCTCCTGAGAAGAAAAGGTGGTTTCAAGTCACCTCCAGAAAAAAAAAAAAAGGGTACCAAACCCCTTTCTCATATCCGGCTCTACGTGAGGCATTGATGAGGCTTCAAGAGTCAAGACGACTCAGCTCCTACCCACTGGAAGCCATTCTCTAGATGTGGAAATATATGAAGAAATAAGAGAAATACACAAGATAAAATATATAAAATGGTGTGAGACAGTAAAGGAAGAAATGAAACTTGTTGGGAGCAGAGTGTCTCAAAACGCTAAAGCCAACTGGACATCAGAAACACCTGTGGACTGCTGTGTTGTAATTGCCAGCAACTCCATCAGCATGCCTTGGAGGACTCAGAGGCTTATCTTTGGTTATGGAATACTGATCTAGACTGTTCTTCCATTTACAGGTCCCACTGGCAAAACTGGACTCCACGTCAGATCTTCTGATCTGACCCTGCATACCTTGGTCTTAGTACTTTTGCTAATCCAACTGGTCACAATAGAAAAAAAGAATAGTAATTATTTGAGAGCTGATGCTACAGAAAAAGAAAGGAAAAAAATTATATTAGCTTTTCTTTTCCTTTTGCAGCCTCATAAGTCCTATACTTGAGACCAATAACGTGGAACTGGAAACTTCTCTCTCTACCTCTCTCCAGAAAAAAACAACAAAAACTTGCCTACATGGTTGACTTCACACATAGCTTCCTGGACTGAATGAATGAATGAATGAACAAATGAACAAGTGTGTAAATGTGTGTACGCACATATACTTATAGACATACACATATATACAAAGACATATATATGCATATGCACATATACAAAATTTATTATTTTTAAGTTACACACAGAAATCTAAAGAAGAAAGTTATAAAACAAATGAGAATTTCCTGAATCTTGGTTTTCTAAAAATGTTTATTGTTTATGTTCTTAGATGTGCTTGGCCCTTCTAAGACGTATCTTAAAATAAGTTGCTGAAAGAAGAAAAAATATGCTAAGTGACTCGTTCACACCTGAAATCAGGCTGCTAAATGCTTCAAAGTTTGTAAGAGTATTACAGAAGCAAATCAAGTTCTAAGTGATTAGGTGACTTAAAAATCAGGGGTTTAGTAATTTGTAAGTATCCATTTGCTGGACTTTAAGTGTATTTCTCTTAATAGAAGTTACATTCAAATCTATACCATTATATCCCAAATGAAAATCTTCATGATGGAGAAAGATTTAATATATTTTTTTAAAGTAGGGTTAGAGCTTTGTTCTAAGATAGCTTAATAACCCTCTAAGATCCCTATAAAATTAATGAAGGCCGGGCACAGTGGCTCACGCCTGTAATTCCAGCACTTTGGAAGGCCGAGGCGGGTAGATTACCTGAGGTCAGGAGTTCGAGACCAGTCTGACCAACATGGTGAAACCCCGTCTCAAAAAATAAATAAATTAATTAATTAATTAATTAATTAAATTAATGAAGAATTCTAGAAAATGAAGTTAAAGGTACAAAATTCTCCCCCAGATTCTCCCCACATGTAAGTGTTTGTGTGTGTGTTTTAATCTATAATGTTCAATCGCCTTTAGTATTTCTTACAGCTTTGCTTTTATACAAAATGAAGGCCCCCAACTACTTTCCTTCATGCATTATGACATATTTTTATGTGAGTCCAAATAGAACAAGTTCCCCCCAACCCTTATCCTTTTCCCCCAATTCTTCCAGATCTATTTTCCAAGAACCCAACCTGACTAATATTTCCTTCCTTCCTTTCTTCCCTGCTTTCCTCCTTCCTTTCTTCCTACATTGATTCAGATGGGATGTGTCATGAGAGCTTATGTCATAATGGAGAGAGAGCCTAGAGATATGAAAAGGTCACTAAAGCATTTACAAAACAACAATCAACAATGAGAGCACATACAATTTTAAATGAAGAAGGAAAATTAAGTGAGTTTGGTAAAACAGGTAAGACCAAAAAGACTCTCTAAATGACTTCGGGTCGGGGCTTTTAAAGCAGATGGGTGAGAAGTATACAGAAGAATGAAAAGCACCTCTGCGTGGAGCTCATCAAAGCGCATGGCTGGGGGACACTGCGACATAGCTCTATGGTGGAGAGGTATGGGCCTGTGGGACTTCCCGGGATTATATATGAGCTCCCTAAATTTTGGTGGGAAGTCATCTCTCTCTGCCAAGTGACTCTGAGACAGACCACAGAAAGATCTTACAACACAGAGCAGGGATCAGCAAGTTATAGCCCATGGGTCAAATCTGGACCGCCACCTGTTTTATAAATAAAGCTTTACTGGAACAAAGCCATGCCCATTTGTTCACAAATTATGTATGACTACTTCTGCATTATGAAAGCAGAGCTGAGTAGTTGTGACAGAGTCCAGATAACTTGCAAAACCTAAATACTTAATATCTGACATGTCACAAAAAAAGTAGACAAGGCAACAACTTTTCATCTTTGTTAGTTTTTGTGACCTCACCCAAGAGAGACAATGGCTGTAGGTTACCAAAAGCTAAAAGTTTAACATTGTCATGGGAAGCCCACTGATATTTACCAGACATTTACTATGCACCCCAGAGTACAGTATCATCCCCTAAAGCTTCTGTTTTCCCCTTTTCCCACCATGCTCCAACCCCTGGATACTCACCTATATCTCTTGTAGTCCTCCTCATCCTTTTCCAAGCTGACCAGCTCATTGGGACAGGCCACATTGCCCAGCAGGCTGAGGTACTCCAGAGCTGGTGTCACTTCTGCCAAGTGATCCAGGAGATATTCCAAATCAGTGATGTGACAAAGGTTAAGGATCTTGGTCCAAGAAGACAAAAGGCTAAGCAAGGAGGATAGGCTGATGAGCCCAGTCTGCCCCTGTGAGACCACAGGGTGAGGACTGAAATAAATTCAGCTGTGGGTATGTGGTATTGCTACTCTTCCACTCCCACTCTTGGGTACACAGCCCAACTTTTCGCTGGGCAGGTAAGACTCAGTCCAGATCATTTGAGGAAGAATGAATAAACTTGATTGTGTCATCATACTTTTCTTTCCTCTATAGTTCTGTTTACAAAACACGATAAAAGGGAAGATTCCATAGAGTAAAATAGTTTCACAATATGAATAACCATAAAATTTAATTCTTTTCTAGTCATGAAAACAAGGGACAAGTATGGTGACCGACACCTGTAATCCCAGCAGTTTGGGAGGCCCTGGCAGACAGATGAATTGAGGTCAAGAGTTCAACACCAGCCTGGCCAACATGGTGAAATCTTGTCTTTACTAAAAATACAAAAATTAACTGGGCATGATGGCAGGGGAACCTGTAATCCCAACTATTCAGGAGGCTGAGGCAGGAAAATTATTTGAATCTGGGAGACAGAGCAAGACTCTGTCTCAAAAAAAAACAAAACAAAAAACCAGAAATTATTTCAGAAGGCCTCATTAAAATATATTCTCCTTTCTCTGTTAGTGGGGGCATTAGAGAATGGAAGAGAAAAGTCAGAGAGGGGCATTATGGGGGAGATTATTCCAGGAGCCATCCTCCACTGGGACCCACTGTCCAATCACAGCCAAACCAAACAAGACAAAGGCCATAGTTCACAGAATCACACGTATTGGAAAGGGTTTAATGATAACCTAGTCTTCATACTAACTCCTGGCTTAAGCCACATAGAGATGAGGTGAGCCTACATAAGGTGATTAGATAGGCATGCATGGTTAGGCCATGACTTCCAGGGACACATGAAAGAGGAATTAAGCAGGTCAGCAGATAAAAAGAGGTCCCAGCCAGGAAATGGCAGCAGAGCTACAGGAGCAAAACATACCATATAAAATAAAATGCCATATACAAGGGTCAAAGACTCAGAGTACAGTTCCCAGAAGGAGAAGATAACAATTTTTTAAAAAAGGGGGATGTTCTTGCTCTGTGAGGATGTTATCTAACCTTGGGATGTGACACACATTTTCTCATACTTCATTTCAACTTGCCACAAAAGCATGAACTCCAAATCCAATCAATGTCTGAATCAGGTCCCTAAGATATTTACCAAGTGGTCACCACAACACAGCACATTCCATTTCTGACAACCATAATGGTTTTTCTTTCCCTTGGAACTGAATCTTTCCCTAACCTCTACTCACTGACGCAATTTAACTGCTTGGGGTCACAAAGAACAAGGCTTCTTCTCTTCCACGTGACGAGCCTTCAGATATCTGAAGCTCACATGTCTTCCTTAAATCTTTTATTCTCCAAACTAAGTTCTTTCAAGTATTCTTTACACACATGCTCTGCCACCATCATGTGCAAGGCCAAATGCCGTACCCTAGGAGAGTGCAGCATGAGACAATGAGAAGCAGAGCACAAGCAAGAGAGGGCGAAAGTAGAAAAAGAGGGGGAAACTACCAAGAGGGGGAAGACTAGCAAAAGAGGGGGGAACTAGTAAAAGGGGGGAAACTAGAAAGAGAGGGGGGAACTACCAAGGCGGGGGGGAACTAGAAAGAGGGGGAAACTAGTAAAAGAGGGCGGAAACTAGTAAAAGTGGGGGGAACTAGCAAGAGAGAGGGAAACTAGCAAGAGAGGGGGAACCTAGAAAAAGAGGGGGCAACTAGCAAGAGGGGGGAAACTAGCCAAAGAGGGGGGAACTAACAAGAGGGGGGAACTAGCAAGAGAGGGGGAAACTAGAAAAAAAGGAGGGAATTACCAAGAGGTGGGAAACTAGCAAAAGAGGGGGGAACTAGCAAAAGGGGGGAAACTTAGCAAGAGAGGGGGAAACTAGAAAAAGAGGGGGGAATTGCCAAGGGGGGGAACTAGCAAAAGAGGGGGGAACTAGCAAAAGAGGGGGGAACTACCAAGAGGGGGAAAACTAGCAAGAGAGGGGGAAACTAGAAAAAAAGGGGGGAACTACCAAGAGGGGGGAAACTAGCAAAAGACCGGGGAACTAGCAAAAGAGGGAGGAACTACCAAGAGGGGGGAAACTAGCAAGAGAGGAGGAAACTAGAAAAAGAGGGAGGAATTACCAAGAGGGGGGGAAATAGCAAGAGAAGGGGGAACTAGAAAAAGAGGGGGGAACTACTAAGAAGGTGGAAACTAGTAAAAGGGGGGGAACTCTCAAGAGAGCAGGAAACTAGCAAGAGAGGGAGAAACTAGAAAAAGAAGAAACTAGCAAAAGAAAATTGTGAGCACATTCATTTGCTATTGGCTTCAATTCACCAACATCCTCCCTACTTCCTAAACAAAGACAGAAAAATGGACATGGAAGTTTGTGTCCAAACTCTCTAATCTTTTACAACATTCAGAGATAGCCACATAGGAACGCTCGAATGAAGAGGTGAGAATGGAAGTTCACAGACTAGAGAGAAGGTCCCACCAGGGGAATGAGTTTGGGAGTAGAGAGGGGTGGGTGGCCAGGAATCAAAATCACTGGAGGCAAAATACACTTACTAAAGTTCAATCATCATATTCTACCAGGAAAAGTATTTAAAAAGAGCCAATTAAAACAACAGTGAACAATTCCAGGGAAAGTTCAGCTTTTCCAGCAGGTTCTATCTTTAAACACTTCATAGTCATTGCTACAATAACAAAAGAAAAAAAAAAAAGTCTCTTTGCTAGTATTGCCATTAGATATGGGCACAGATACCTCAGATGCCCGGTGCTTTCAAGCACCCTCCTCAGAATGCCCTAAGTCCCTCTGATACCCAGGACTGGATGGTGTCATTTAGGTAGAGTACCTCAGGCCTGGACCTAGACCCAGACCTGCGTGGGCCTCAGTTCCAGGCTTGGTTTCTCCCCTTCACAGTATGCTCCAACTTTCTAACCCACCCATGCAACCCATCAGATGCTCCAAGGAGCACTAGGACTCATGTCTGCATCAGGTTGTTTTAAAGTCTCAAGGTCAGGCCCTTGTTCCAGGGAGGGCAGCCAGGCAAGCTAACTACTGCTACTGGCCAGCACAGTATTTCTTTTGTGGGACTGTAAGAGAGTGGGCTACCAGAATGGTGCTAACATACCGACTTGGAGTGTTTCTGATTATTTATGTAGACAAGGACCCTACACGACAGAGGGAAGTCCTCTTTACTACAGATGGAAAGGCCAGATCTACATTAGCTTTCTTCTTATGAAACATTCCTCAAAGCTTGGCTTTTTTGTGTGTGTCTACTATATGAAGGTGGGCATATGCAGGAATGGAACCCCAAACTGGCAAAGTTTTTAATTTGAGGAAATATTGGGCAACTGAGTTGGACTGAAATGCCAGTCATTTCTCAACATGTAGTGATGAGTGAAGGAAGCCCAACGGGCCACCATCCAGGGAAGTCGGCCTAGATTACGTTGAGTAAACTTTTACATGTAGATCTACCATGGAGCTAATAAAGCTCATGTGTCAAGGGCTTCTTGCTTGCATTGGCACCTTCCAAGGCCCTGGGAAATACCCTGGTAATAGGGTCACATGATCATGTGTTTTTTTTTTAATTTGCAAAAGTAGGTTATTTACAGTCATCTGTGGAGATCACTGTCTCTCTTCAATAGGACTTCTTTACCACATTTTCCTTTGAGTTGGGTGGCAATGGGAGTATCAATGGGAATCCTGGGGACCCAGCTAAGGGGACTTCGTGTAGGAGTGACATTTAATTTTGATTCACTGGGGATATAGTTACATAAGTTGCAGGCACTCTGTGTCTAGTTAAATTATTCCAACAGCATCAGTAGCAATGGCTTCCAGTAATACTTTTACTATCCACCATATTAACACAAACATGCAGGGACCAACACAAAACTGATGGCAAAATGATAAACAAACTCATCAATTCAAAGAACATTTAAGATTCCGTTGGCAAGTGTATGTATACACATAGACACACACACAACATGAAATGCCCTGAAATCTTTTTATTATTATTTTTTTGAGACAGAGTCTCACTCTTTCACTCAGGCTGGAGTGTAACAATGTGATCTAGGCTCACTGCAACTTCTGTCTCCTGAATTCAAGCGATTCTCCTGCCTCAGTCTCCCAAATAGCTGGGATTATAGGTGCGCGCCACCACACCTGGCTAATTTTTGTATTTTTAGTAGGGACGGGGTTTTGCCATGTTGGCCAGGCTGGTCTCGAAATCCTCACCTCTGGTGATCCGCCTGCCTCAGTCTCCCAAAGTGCTGGGATTACAGGCATGAGACACTGTGCCTGGCCGAAATGTGCCGAAATCTTATACAGCTCCTATCATATATGAAAGAAATGTGTAAGGGTTTCTCCAAAATGCAATTGTCATAAAACTGTAGTGGTGAAACTACCAATAACAAATGGTGAAACTGAAAGATACATTTCTAAACTATTTTTAAAAATCAGTTTTCAGGCCGGGCTCGGTGGCTCACGCCTGTAATCCCAGCACTTTGGGAGGCCGAGGTGGGTGGATCACGAGGTTAAGAGATCGAGACCATCCTGGACAACATGGTGAAAATCCATCACTACTAAAAAAAATGCAAAAATTAGCTGGGCACGGTGGCATGCACCTGTAGTCCCAGCTAGTCGGGAGGCTGAGGCAGGAGAATTGCTTGAATCCTGGAGGTTGCAGTGAGCTGAGATCGTGCCACTGCACTCCAGCCTGGTGCCTGGCGACAGAACAAGACTCTGTCTCAAAAAAAAAAAAAAATATATATATATATATATATATATATATATATATATATATATATATATCAGTTTTCAATCAACCATGCTAAAAGAGGGAATTATCTATTCTCTCTACAGAAAAATTGTAAAGTCTCACCAAATAATGAAGCTATGAGAGAATTTGTAGAAAAAAGT